GCAAAATCTCGAAACTAGCAAAACCCGAGCCCCGGGCCCACTTCTCGAAAAATTACAAAACTCACATTACCGGATTCCTCGTCTCGCCACGAGTCCATACATACCAAGAACTCCCAAATCCGAGCTCAAATGACCTATCAAATCCCAATTTGAAATATCAAAAACTCAATCCCTAGCTTTACCCCTTTTTGATGAATTTCAACCAATTTCCATGTTAAATCTATCATAATCTCATGTATTTAGGCCAAGGAACTTACCTCCAATCAATCCCCCTTGAATCCCTCTTCAATTTGTCCCAAAGAGCTCTCAAATTACTCAACAATGGTGGCAAAATGACTAAAACTCGCGGGTGAAATGTTTATAAACTTTCTGCCCAGGTCTGACCCCTCCTTCTTCGCGAACGCGAGGGCTATCCCGCGTTCGCGATGCTCAAATTTTCCATCTGCCAAAACACCTTTGTGAACGCATCCCACACCACGTGAACGCGAAGTTTTATCCCTCATAAACATACGCGAACGCGACACATATTATGCGAACGCGAAGATCAAAGAAACCTGAACCTCAATTCCTTATACGCGTTCGCGGTTACTGCCTCGCGAACGCGATGCACACTCAGCTACCCCTCCGCGAACGCGAACCCACACCTCGCGAACGCGAAGAGTAATTCACTTGCCTCCCGAAAAGCTTCTGCGCGATCGCGACACCACACCCGTGATCGCGAAGCACAAATACTCTGCAACATCAAGACAGCAAAAATATGTAACTCAAAATGCCAAGATTGGTCCGATCGACCATCCGAAACTCACCCGAGGCCACCAGGACCTCAACCAAAAGCACCAACGCATCCCAAAACCTCATTCAAACATGTTCCAATCATCAAAACACCTCAAACAACACCAAAACCATCAATTCACATCGAATTCAAGCCTAAGTTTTTCCAAAAACTTCCGAAACACGCATTCGATCAAAAACCCAACCAAACAACGTCCGAATGACCTGAAATTTTGCGCACACATCACAAATCACATAACGAAGCTACAGCAACTCTCGAAATTCCATTCCGACCCTCGGATCAAAATCTCACCTATCAACTGGAATTCGTCATAATTCTAACTTTGCCAATTCAAGCCTAATTCTACACCGGACCTCCAAAATCAATTCCGATCGCACTCCTAAGTCACAAATCATCCCCCGAAGCTAACCGAATCACCAAAAATCTCATCCGAACCCTCTAACTAAATAGTCAACATCCGGTTGACTTTTCCAACTTTAGCCTTCCTTAAAGAGACTAAGTGTCTCCTTTCTTATCAAAACCAATTCAAATCAACTCTAACACACCGCATACCGATAACGAAACATGAAGAAGCATAAAATGGGGGAAACGAAGCGGTAACTCATGAGACGATGGGTCGGGTCGTCACAATATGGTTACATAAATATGTCATTGGTCGCGTACACGTGGTACGCCAAAAATATTTTACCATGCCTTATAAAAAGTTATTAAAGGCAAAAGTAAAGCAAGAAATGAGTCTTGTCTATAATGTTTTTGATTGTGAAAATGATAAGATAATTTTTTCCGTGGAGGAAAAATTTACCACTTGGATGGTGGTATAAAAGATCTTGTAGTACAATATTATTGAGAGCTCCGAAAGAGCAAATTTGTTACTACCGGAATAAATAAAATTATTCATGGCATTGGTGGTAGTAAGTCTCAAAAAGGAACTTTTTGAGTTTCAAATATATTAGCCAAAGTGGTTGGCATATTGAGACTATAAATGAAAGGAAGATTGAATATCTTCATATTACTATATTCATACCGGGTAAATATGAAAGGTTACCCGATTTTTTTTCTATTTGTTTTACAGATGTATAAGCATCGTGATGGAATCACATGCCATAAGTAAACTAGAGGTTTATTGAAACAAATATTAGTTGGCATGACCGGTTGACCATCCCGGTTCAATTATGATGTGAAAATTGATTGAGAATTCACATTGGCATATATTAAAGAAATAGAAGTTTCTTCAAGAATTCTCTTGTGATGTTTTTTTAATCTCATGATATACCAGTTAAGGTTGGGATTGAATCCCTTGATACCTGGAACGAATAAAAGGTGATATATATGTATGGGCCCAATCACCTGCCATGTGGATCGTTTACTATTATATGATTTTAATAGATGCATCTATTGTATGGTCACATGTGCGTTTGTTATCAACTTGCACTTTGGTTTTTGCAAGGTTATTTGCTCAAATTATTAGAGCACAGTTCCAGAATATATATTATGATAATTTATCTTGATAATGCTAGTTTAAATCCAAGTTAGTTTAGCAGAAATTGTATGCCTCCAATTATAGCTAAACCGTTGGTTATGAGAACAAAACTCCAAATAGAAATTTTGTATTAAGTATATTATTTAATATACAACAGCACTTGTACGCATCTAGCCAACAAGTTATGATAAATTTTCCCCATCACAATTGGTTCAGGGTCAGGAAACAAATATTTTCATCTAGAAATATGGATGTACTATATGATTTAATTGTGCCACCACAATGCACAAAGATTGGTCTCAATGAAGGTTGGGGATATGTGTTGGTGATCCCAACATTAGGGGGAGAAAATGAGCAGCTGAAAAAAAAGTAATACATGGAATGAATTATTATGAGTACATTAGATCCTCGTACAAGAAAATATGAACTTGAAGTTCAAGTGATAATTCATTTGCAAAATATTTCCATGCGCATTTGCTGACCCAAACTAAATGTCATATTTCAGCTACTAATGCTCCAAATAGAATAAAGTCCATGATGGACATAGTCTATGGAACTCTTGAAGCGTAATAGACTAATCGGTTCAAAGATAAAACTCCTTGAAGAAGGAGAGGAGCAAATGTTCAAGATGGTCATAATAAGGAGGCAAGTGCTTTATAAGAGCACCATGACATAACATTTTATAAGACCTCATGGGAAAGGCTCAGGTACCTGAAAATAATGAGATCTCGATAAGTTATGTCTTTACTATGCGATGATGGAACCGATGTAAATGATCGTTGACGATGTTGTTAATATAATGTAGCGCTCAATATTATTAATATTGACGAGGATCTTGAGCTCAAATCTGTCATGGAATTTGGACAGATAAATGATTGGCCAAATGAAAAATATGCAATGAAATTGACTTCACCTGAAAAATGTGAAGTTGGACGGATAGTCGCACACCTGAAAGTGAAATGAAAAATCAAGTCGATAGACATAAAGACGACTTGTGGCACAAAATTTTCGTAAATATCCTGGTATTAGGAGACATGTTCTCCTGTAGGGGGTCTGACAATACATTTGATATGCATATAATGGAAATCCTTGAATGATTTAAATTGTTCTGAAGCATATTGAGGTTCCCAAGAAATTTATTAAATAAATCTTCGGCAGATCCTTATGTAGATTAGAGCGATCATGGCGTACATGATTTATTTTTGTGTCTAGTGCAATTGGTGCACTAATATATCTGGCTAGAACCATGAGTATAACAATATGCTAGCAAGATATAGTTTTATTTCAATGTGGAGATATTGGAATACAATTAGTATTATATTTCAAAAGGAATACTTGATTTAGATATGTTTATTCTAACAAATATCGCCAAGATTTTGTTGGTTATGCAAATGCAGGCATTTTTTGAAGTTCGTTCTTCAAACATTCTATTTGCATGTGAGAGTACTGCCATATTATCATATTACAAGGCAGTTAATTGTTGATACTTATTCAAGTCATGCCAAGATAAGCAACTGATAAAGCAAGGGGCTCAACACACAACAGAAGTGTGACTTGACTTTGAAGAGAAGATTCCAATAATACTGAAGATAATGTTGTTTGCTTATATCAATTGAAAGAAGGACTATCGAAGGAGACAAAATAAAGCACATTCACCAAAGTTCTTCAACAAATTTGTTCAAGTGATAATTTGACAAACTTCTTCACAAGACATTGCGGATCTCAATATTAGAGAAGTTGTTATACAAGCTTGGAATTCGTCGTCTCCAAAGAATAAAGTGATGTTTTCATCAGGGGAGGCAATACGCGCTGCACTCTTTTTTCCTTAGCTAAGATTTTATCCCACTGGATTTTTCTGGCAAGGTTTTTAATGAGGCAGCAAATAATGCGTATTACAAGATATGTGTACTCTTTTTTTCCTTCACTAAGATTTTTTCCCACAGGGTTTTCTTTTAGTAAGGTTTTAACGAGGCACATTATCTATAGACATCCAAGGGGGAGTGTTATGAAATATTATTTTGTAGTAGATGTCTATAACTCCTAAAGAAGTTACTCCCACTACTCTTCTCCATTATGTAGATAACTCCCACTACTTCTCACCATTATAGTTGTAACTCCCACACCTCCATAACCTCCCCATGATCTTCCTCCATGATCTCAAATGTTTAATGTCATGTTTATGGCATTCTTTTGTATGCATCTATGTAATCCTATAAATAGAGGGTTTTGGCATCATATTGTATACACTTGAATACATAGAAGAAATAAGATTCTCTCCTCTCTTCCTCTCTACATTGTTATCTATTTTATTGTTCTATATTGTTACTTTGAGCTAAGTTTCGTAACACTTTTTAGATTCTCACAAATAAAGAATTAAATGATCAAAATAGTCACCTTTTCGGATTATGTAAATTATTCCTTTTGTGGTAAAATCAAAATTTTATTGAGGTGTATTTATATAATTCTTTCACATCATGCACCTATCCACGATCCAATAAAAAGAAACTCAATATAATAACCTATTTAAATTAAGAGACACTATTTTCTTAAATTGTTCAAGACTGATCATTAAGTAAAAAGTGATAATAATAATAACAATAATAATAATAATAATAATAATAATATAAAATGTACGAGTAACTTAAAAGAATTTAACTTTATATGTTACTATTGTTTTTAACAAATATTTACCATTTATAGCATTATTACAACAACAACAACAAAAAGGAAAACTCTTTAACTTCCTTGTGGTTATGACCTGAAAAACTTCCAACCTCCCTCGTCTTCCCAACCACCCCAAAAACATGAACAACTAAAATATCATCATTTCTTCCCTTTCAAGATTCTCCAAGAACAAGAAAACCCCTCTTAAATATAAATATCTTCCATGACTCTACAATATTCCCACTAGAAAAAACAGAAGAATTATGGAGCAATATTCAAGTAAATGGATGATATTGATAGCAAGCACATGGATTCAAGCATTTACAGGCACAAATTTCGACTTCTCATCCTATTCTTCTGAATTGAAATCTGTTCTGGGAATTTCACAGGTGCAGCTGAATTATCTGTCAATGGCATCAGATATGGGGAAAGCATTTGGGTGGTGTTCTGGTGTTTCTCTTATGTATTTCCCATTGTGGGTTGTTCTTTTCATAGCTGCTTTTATGGGACTTGTTGGTTATGGCCTTCAATGGCTTGTTATTCAGAAAATCATCATTTTGCCTTATTTCTTGGTTAGTTTTCTCCTTCTCTTCTCCCAAAAATCTTCTTGAATGCTAGGAACATGTATCCTGAGTTGAAGAAATTTGGGAACTTAATCCAATTTTTGTTGTTCCCTGAATGTTCTATTGCTTTTTGCCTTGTATTTTTATTCTTTCCTAAAAAATAATTTTTCTTCTCTCTGGATTCTTTGGTGGACTGGTGGTTGATAGTAGTTAGAGCTACCACACCAAATTAGCTTACTTCATTAGTTTTGAAATGCTTTTTGAGTAGTAAGTACTTATTAGACAAGAAATAGAAACTTAATTACAGTTAAGGGTAGGTGAGGACTAACATAATTGATCAACCAGAAACCATGAAGTCTAATATGTAAAGAAGAGTAAGGTTCTGTAAATTCTCCACAGTTCAAGGTTTAAATACCACTCAATTTAAAGCTTAGTTTATCATTTTTTTAGGTTTCTCATTAGGTAAGATGTATTGTTGTTAACAAACAATTAGTGACTGCATCCAAGGAGAGAATTTGTGAACATTTTATTCCCAGCCACCTTTCTCTCTAATCAATCAAATTTTGTTACTTGAAAAATTCTCTGCAAATCTGAAGAAGCTATCCAAGATTCTTGTGGAAAACTCCATGAGGCCTTGGGAAGGCAGCTTGTGTATTCCACTGAAACTGCAAACCACAGAATTCCAAGATGTTACATGATTATTTTCTTCAGCTCTTATGCATTGAAAATTCATTATAATGCCATCCCATTCCCAACCTTTCACTGATTTACCTTACAGGTATTTCTGTTGTGTGTGCTGGCTGGCTGCAGTATCTGCTGGTTTAATACAGTATGTTATGTGTTGTGCATCAAACATTTCCCAGCAAATAGACCATTTGCGTTATCCCTCAGCGTAAGTTTCAATGGTGCAAGTGCAGCCTTGTTCAACCTCATTGCTAATGCCATTAATTCCAATGATGACACCCTATATCTTCTTCTTAATGCTCTAGTCCCCCTTGTCACATCAGTTGCAGCTCTGCCAATCCTCCGGCAACCTCACTCTCAAACTCTTCGTGCTGATTCTGTTCACCGAGAATATCTCATTTTCCTATGTCTAACCGTACTAGCAGTTTTTACTGGCCTTTATCTCTTAATCCTGAACTCGGTCTCATACAGTGCACCAACAGCTCGTATCCTCTTGGCCGGTGCAGTGTTCTTGCTGGTCCTTCCGGTGATTGCGCCTGGGGTTATCCGCACAGAAGAGTGGTCTCAACTAATCCATCCTAATTATATGTTACTTGAAGACAATGATACTGATGATTTTGGAATGCACAAAGAAATGATGTGGAAAGAGGATTCAAGTATGACTCTTTGGACCGAAAATTCTCATGGTTCGAAAGAGAAGGAAAGTTGGACCAGCAGCTTTTTGCTGAGAGATCGTTTGCTGCTGCTTGGAGAAGAACATTCAGCAGATCAGCTCATGTGTAGGTGGGATTTCTGGCTATATTACCTAGCATATTTCTGTGGGGGAACACTCGTACTCGTTTACAGCAACAATCTAGGCCAAATTTCAGAGTCACTTGGATATAGTTCAGAGATCAGCTTTCTTGTTGCACTCTATTCTGCATGTTCCTTCTTCGGGCGCCTACTTTCAGCAGCCCCAGATTTCCTACGGGAGTAAGTATTTCCAGATTTACTGCTCTTTTGAATGGACAATCACCATAATGGTAAAAAGTTTGACAGAGAGCTGAAAATGGTTTTTTTGGTTGCAGCAAGATGTACTATGCAAGGACTGCATGGCTTGCATTTGCGCTGATTCCAACACCAGTGGCTTTTTTTCTGCTTGTTTTATCAGGAAGCAAAGCCGCATTGAGCGCTGCCACGGCGTTGCTTGGGTTGAGTTCTGGTTTTGTATTTTCAGCAGCAGTGTCAATAACCTCTGAGCTATTTGGCCCCAACAGTGCAGGGGTCAATCACAACATTCTCATCACCAACATTCCTCTGGGATCACTACTCTATGGACTTCTTGCAGCTCTAGTCTATGAAGCAAACCTAGGAAAATCAAGCCAAGTTCTTGTATTGGATGGATCAAAGGTTTGCATGGGTAGGAACTGTTACATTCAGACATTTATGTGGTGGGGATGTATCTCTTTGTTGGGGGTAGTGTCTAGTTTACTGCTTTTCCTAAGAACTAAAGCTGCCTATGACAATCAGGAAAGGAACCGAAATTGGATGAGATTAATATAAGTGAGTGAAATTATCCTTCTTAACTGACTTGTGACAGCTATATGAAGATAGATGCCATTGGAATCACAACCCCATAGCACGAATAATGCCTAACATTCTAATAAAGGTTGGAAAGAGGTATAACACTTGAGACTAATGGTAGGGTCGAAACATCTATATCATGAGGACCATGAGACAAAAGGATGTAACACCAGCAGGTTAGCATACTCTACCACTTGCATGAGTTGAGAATAGAGAGATAATTGGGAATTGTAAAGGAAGAAACAGAGAAAGAAATGATGAGACACAGCACAGCAGAATATGATTGTTGGAAGTTACAAGTTCTACTGACAAGCTATGCTGGCTTCTCCAGAAAAGATTAATCCTCTAATGAGAGTACTAAAATACTGTCAGCCCCTTCAAATAGATTATAAAAGATACCTGAGTCCAAGAAATTTTATAAATCCCTCCTCCTCCACTTCCTGCCCTTGTGCAGGGGCACAGCACAAGTTGAGCACAGGAAGAAGAATATCAACCGCTATGTAAAAGTAATGAGAATGCACTTACTAACACAGTTGGATGAAGAAAACAGAAGACAATTTGCACCATTGAAATAAGTTAACTATCTCTAGGCTGCCAAGAGTTTTTTCTACTCTCTAAGAATGATTGTAGAAACATACTGACAAACCATTCCAAGGATGGTTGGATCTGGAACAATTTAGATTTCTTCAGTCTAGCACACTATCAGCTTTTTCAACAGACAAAAAATGAAGAGTAAGCATTAGAAGCTTAGTTGAACATCAGAAGAAAGTGAAGCTTCAAGATTCCACATTCAAACAATGCGATTATTCTAATATTGACATGTCAAATGGCATGTACTTGTCAAAATATGTAATACTAACAGGGGAGCGTACTGGTAAAGTTGCTGCCACCAGGAGGCCACGGATTGGAGCCGTGGAAACAGCCGCTTGCAGAGATGCAGTGTAGTACAAAAGACCTAGTGGTTCGGTCCTTTTCCGGACCTTGCGTATAGTGGGAGCTCAGTGCACCGGGCCGCCCTTTAAATTCCAGTCTTTGAAAATGATATATCAGAGCTAATACTTAATCGGACACAAGTAGAAGATAACCAAACAACAACAATATAGAGAAAACACATCCACATGAACAAATAGTAAGTCATTCTCTTAAACCAAACAAACAGTAACACTTATGTTCACAGAAAATATAATTCACATACTTGTAAACAGCCTACAACTTCCTATAATTCTATTGGGTTGGCATCAGTTGCACCCTCTTCATCTTCAGGTAGCAATTCAGAAGGGAAATCACCTCTGAGAATCTGAACTTTAAAATGGATTTTGTTAGTGCTGCACTCTGAAAGTTCAAACACAAGTCCATCCCCTACCTTCAGATCATTATCATCCACAAATTTTTTCCACTCAGCACTAAATTTGTTATAATTAGAATAGTAGAACATATCCCACTTCTTTCGACCACAAGTAAGAACTGCTGGCGCTCCAGCAGCAGGTAGCTCTTTGTTCATTTTTCTCGGTAAATACTGTCAACATACAAACAAATTCAGTGGCTGATCCAATATAAATGCTGCGGGTTCAGAACTCAAATATAGGTAAGGTTAACAATATAAACTTTAGAACTTACGACGTATAAATCAACAACAACAACAAACCAATATAATCCCACAAGTAAGGTCTGGGGGTATAGTGTTTGTCGCTTACTTAAATTTCTGTGCCAAGGAAGACGTATAAATCAAAGATTTGAAGGAGAAAAAAAAGGGAATTACCATGCCGTAGAAGGGCTTGACAGTAGTTTTTGTGAGAATCATATCAACATAGGGTTTGCCAGAAAGTGGCCAGTATTCACCATTGTCGATTTCTTCGATTCCAGTGCTTTCAATCTCGCGTGTGGAGTAATCATCGTGGTTTGAAACATGTACAGAAGATGGTATGCTCTGAAAAAATCGAAGGATCATACAACCGTTAAATTATAGAAGGCAATCGAAACACAAAATGTAGATGAGAGAATTTGCTAGGAATCATGGGAATGTACCTCCATTGCAGTTTCAACAGATAATTGGAGTTCTTGTTCCGTTTTCTTATTCTTCAGCAAACCAGTGGAGTTTCGGTACTACCTATTCTACTTAGGGTCAACAGGTATCATTTATAGTATTAAATTTTTTTTGGGGGTGGGGGTTCATAATAACAATGATATTACATGAAAACTAGTACTACTAGTTAGCAATATTTAGAGAGGTCGGGCATTCTCGCCCCCAAAAGTTTATCCCTATATTACTATTATAGTTGTTCGTCTTTTAAAATAAGTTCCTAAAATGTCTGCCCAAACATAATTTAATGCAAATATTAGAGAAACAGCCAAAATGGTAGGATTTTCAAAAAGTTTCATTCTTTGCACCCTCCTTGACCAATGCACTAGCTACTCTATTTTGTTCGTCGAAATTTGCTTGATTACCGGATTCCCAAGTTCTTGCATCAGTTGTATGTATTTATAGATAATAGACTTATAAACTATGTTGCCATTAGCTATCATTCTTAGTGAAGTCTGTGGCGATCTCAAGTGGAGTGAGGTTATAAGCTTTAGCAATTCTGAAACCCTACATAATAGTTGATAGCTCACCCAGATTGTTAGTGGGGTGAGGAAGACCCGCCATGAAACCCACAATCCAGTTTCCCTGACTGTTTCTAATCGTAACAACTATTTTATTAATTTCTTTCTTCGTAAGTAAGATTTTTATTTCGTCAATGTTTTCGCAAAAATAAACTTAACTATAACCAGTTAATGCAGTATAACCTATTATATCATGTTAACTACTATCTTTGTCACTAATAAATTATTACCATAACGATTTATCTGTAATTATCTAATAAATGATCTAATTGTATAAATGACTTTTACGTTGTTAGTACATAAAATTTAAAGTTAACTAATTCTTCAACATGTCGAGAAAATAATTCCTATGCTTGATTACAATTCGAACAAAAAGATTATCTTATAAGGATTTCATGTGTTCTATTTATCGATCTAATAAGGGTTACATATTAAAGAACATTTGCGATTAGTCATAAAATTGATTTTCTGTGATCTAGGAGACTAACCTATTTAGTCGAACTTCCAAATCTAGTTATTTTGAAAGTACTTTTTGTCTAAAGGCAAAGAAGAGTATTTTAGAGTTGTGTAATTTGTGTTTGGCCAAACAATTCTAATAAAGCTTTTGTTAGTATTAAAAAGTGGTTTGCCCATAAAAAGATCATCTACAAGTTTACTTTAGAAACAAGAATGAGTTTTTGTTATTTGTTATTTACTTATTTTATCTAAAATATTTCATCTATTGAGATTTGGTGAGATTTTCAAAAGAAATAAGTTGAAAAATAATGGAAAAAAAGTTATCAGGAAGGAGAAGGAGACCAATATTCTAAACTTCTAAAGGTTGATTTCCCTTTTAAAATTAATTAGTCTCTAACACGTAATACTTTGAACTGAGTAGAGATAGATGAAAAGTTAAAAGACTAATATAACAAAGTACATATTAGAAATACACAATGATAAATGCGACCTATAGTTAACATAATATATGTCATATGTGGATTCTCGTTACCAAAAGTGAGTTGATTTCATGCAGTTGATGAGGATCTCTAACTCTTTTAGATAATTCATAGCACGAATGTTTCAATATAACTTTTACGTCTTAATTACTTATATGAATAAAGTGGATAAGGAAAATTACTTACTAGTTAGCAATATTTAGAGAGGTCGGGCATTCTCGCCCCCAAAAGTTAGAGAAGTTATCCCTATATTACTATTGTAGTTGTTCATCGTTTAAAAGAAGTTCCTAAAATGCCTACCCAAATATAATCTAATGCAAATATTAGAGAAACGGCCAAAATGGTAGGATTTTCAAAAGGCTTCTTCTTTGCAACCTCCTTGACCAATGCATTAGCTACTCTATTTTGTTCGTTGAAATTGTGCTTGATTACCGAATTTCCAAGTTCTTGCATCAGTTGTCTGCATTTATAGACAATAGACTTGTAAACTATGTTGCCATTGGCTACCATTCTCAGTGGAGTCTGTGGCGATCTCAAGTGGAGTGAGGTTATAAGCTTTAGCAATTCTGAAACCCTACATAATAGTTGATAGCTCACCCAGATTGTTAGTTGCGTGGGGAAGACCCGCCATAAACCCACAATCCAGTTTTTCTGACTGTTTTTAATCGTAACAACTTTTTTATTAATTTCTTTCATCGTATGTAAGATTTTTATTTCGTCAATGTTTTCGCAGAAATAAACCTAACTATAACCAGTTAATGCAGTATAACCTATTATATCATGTTAACTACTATTTTTATCATGTCACTAATAAATTCTTACCACAATGATTTATCTGTAATTATCTAATAAATGATCTAATTGTATAAATAATTTTTACGTTGTTAGTACATAAAATTTAAAGTTAACTAATTCTTCAACATGTCGAGAAAATAATTTCCTATGATTGATTACAATTCGAACAAAAAGATTGTCTTATAAGGATTTCATATGTTCTATTTATCGATCTAATAAGGGTCACATATTAAATAATATTTGCGATTAGTCATAAAATTGATTTTCCGTCGTCCAGGAGACTAACCTATTTAGTCGAACTTTCAAATCTAGTTATTTTGAAAGTACTTTTTGTCTAAAGTGTTACTGAGAAGAGTATTTTAGAGTTGTATAGTTTGTATTTGGCCAAATAATTTGAATAAAGCTTTTGTTAGTATTAAAAAGCAGTTTGCCCATAAAAAGATCATCTACAAGTTTACTTTAAAAACAAGAATGAGTTTTAGTTATTTGTTATTTACTTACTTCAGCTAAAATATTTCATCTATTGAGATTTGGTGAGATTTGCAAAAGAAATAAGTTGAAAAATAATGGAGAAAAAGTTATGAGGAAGGAGAAGGAGACCAATATTCTAAACTTCTAAAGATTGATTTTCCTTTTAAAATTAATTAGTCTTTATATACGTACCTGACACGTAAT